AAGAAAAACTTCATATATATATATAATTAAATACAATGAAAAGATAAAATGTAACTGTAAAAATGGAAATTAAAAAAGACTTAAAGAGTTGATAAAATAAGAAATTAGTTGAAAAGGAAAAAAAAATTAAAATGGAAAGATTAAAGAATCATGAGGAAAGCCCTGAGTTCTCTATACTATTTTCCCCAGCCCTGGAGTTGTGCAATTCTGTGTGTTCTCTGGAAATTCCTGCTGGTCTTCTGGACCAGCTGCACTGACGCTCGGCTCAGGTGTCTTCGCGGAACTGCACTGCCCTTGCCAGGGGGCTGGGCTCACTATTTCCTGGAGCGTCCATGCTAACTCTGGGACTGGCTGGGGGATTTTTTATTTTAATTAAATCAAAGTGGAACGATAATCCAAAAGAATGTGAAAATCCTGAAACTCAAACAATTCCTGTGGGGCTCCTTGGGGTGTGTGGGCTGGGCCGAGGCAGGACTTTCACCAAGGTCTCCTGACTTGCAGGCTCAGAGTAGCGGGGGCTGCTCCCAGATTCAGAAGGAAGTACAGATGCAGCACTGGACAAACAGAATGCAGAGGGCCAGGGGCCATGGAGGATGGGAAGGGACCAGGTAGAGCTGGCCAGGTGAGCCAGGGGTGGGGTCTATAGGGGAGAGCAGGCTGGAGCAAGCTATGGATGGAGATAGAGAGCCCTGGCCAGCTCCTCTCAGGCAGAGCCCGGGACCCCTCCCAGGGCCTGGCCTCAAGCTCCCCTCTACCAATCCCTGCGGCAGACAGAAGGGGGAATGTCCCACATGAAGGCAAGGAGGAGGGAGGAGGGGTGGTGGGTACTGACAAAGATACTGTCTCAGTGAGTCAGGGTGAGATCAGGCCTCAAGGAGACAGGCCATTCTCAAGACGGCCACTTCTCTCAGCAGACTGATATCCATATGCTCCTGAAGTCACTCAACTTCAAGACACATGCAACCCACAAGACAGCCACGTGGGGCCATAGCCAGCAGCCCCTCCCTCTCCATAGAGAAAGAAGCTGCCTCAGCAGAGATAGCTCTTCTCTCCTGCCAGGCATCAGAGGCCGGAGGGTTTCCTTACAGCAGTGGGTCACACGGTTTCCAGAAGCACCTGCTGACTCCCAGGTCACGAACCCCAGGAACTCCTACAGCTGATCTGGCTTCAGTGTGCATTAACTCTGCCTATCAGAACAGACCAGCCCCAGCCTGGCAACAGGACTGTGCACTTTGGCTGAGAGAGGGCCTCAGAGCCACATGGACGGCACCAGCCGTCTGGCTGGCCACTGCCCTGGGCTCTTTCCTGCCCACACCCACAGGACCAACTCCCACTGCTGCTCTCAGCCATGATCATTCAGAGGAGTCTGGACTCCCCAACCCCCTGAACCCGAGGAAGCCCAGTCTCGCCCCTCCAGCTCCATGGTTTTAGGCCTGGAGACACATAGATGGTGCTGTCCTGCCGGTAAGGCCGTGTGGCAAGCTTCCGGCCTGAGAGGCAGGCCAGTGCGCTGTGGCCAGCAGCTCACGCGTTCTGGGTTTCTGTGGTCACCCAGGGAAATGGGTTCCTGTCTGTGATGCGGGGTGGCCATGGCCAATCCAGGGGCACGTGTCACCCCTCCCGTGGTGGACAGTAGACCAGTGCTGATAGCAGTCCTCACACCCTTAGCCTGTCATCCTCGTCCCTCTAAATAGTTCCCATGAGTACCTGGATTCTAGAATTTTCTACGGACATCCTGGCATAGTACCTGAGGATTTCAGCATACGCTTCCCCACTTTCCCTCCCCTCAACCTTCCGAAATGGTTGTCTAATCTTTGGTTACATAAATATTCCATGTGTTTCATTATTATGACTCCATAGCACTCACTACCAGCCAAGCAGTATTGTGGAAGCACATTTTCCCTGTGTTTCAGCTGCTTGTTTTCCTGGCAACAGTAACTGCCAGGTGTCTTAGGCTTGGCCTCTATGCATCTGTTGCCTTCCTAGCCCTAAGCTGTCAGGCAGAGCCGCGAGGGTTTCTCTGATGACCCCCCAGTCCTGGGGCCCTCCGGGTTCCATCACCATCAACTCCGAAGCCTACACTCAGCCAGTCAGTTACGTGAGCTTCTAGTTGTAGAAGATATCTACAACTAACGATGCCACCACCTTTGTGGGAGGCGCGGCTGCTCCCTGAGGTGGAGATCAAACAGACACACGTGGTACGGCTTGAGGCATGCACGTGCACCTCGGTTAGAGAGTAAGCACCACACCGTCAAGCTCACACACCACATGTGTAAGACCTGGCTGCGTGGCAGACCACAAAACAAACTCAACCAATGTCAAAGAATGAACACAGAGATCCCATTCTCTATCACACACAAGTAGGTGTGAGATTAATGACAACATTTTAAAAGACAGAAGTTAAAAGAACTTTTAAATAACTGATGAGTCAGAAATCATACTGGATTTTAAAACTAAGAGAAAAAAGCAAATACCGTGAGTTTCCCACAGGTTAATTGACAGAAGTTGTTGGAGAACAAAGCCATCCCAAGGGTCCTGGACACTGCTGCAGTGGCCCAGGGAGGTCCCGAGGAGCATGGCTGGGGGCTCGTGAATGTGCTCTGTTCAGGAAGCCACCAAAGGCACTGGAGGTTGAGCAAAGGCCAAAATTTGTATGAAGCCACCACCAAAATCTTTGTGCAAAAGCGTGAAGGCTTAAACAACTTCGTGTTTAACTGCATCCCTAACCTCGGAAAATCACATAAGGGTTACCACATACTGGTTACACGGATACAGACACGGGCATGTGACGCTAAGTCACCCAAGGGCTCTCTTCCTCATCCCCAAGCCCACCTGGCATTTCTCACATCGCCCATCCCCTGCCAGTACCACCTCCCAGAGGCTGCTGCTCCACCCACTCTCCATGTCTCCCCACCAGGCCCCATGTGCCCGGGAAGTGGTGCCACCCTCACAGCAGCCCCAGGGCCTGCAGCCTCTCCATCCTCAAGCTCAGTCATGCTCATCACACAGGCCTCAGAGCAGCTCCACCATTTGGACCAGACCTCACTCCAGCCCTCCTCAGAGAGGGCCCCTACCTGGAGCTGGCCTGCATGGTCCTGTGGCAGGGCCCCCACCCACCACACTGACGTATGCTCTGGACCCAAAGGCCCACAGGGTCCCTGGGCGATGGTGGTACTCATGTGTGTGTGGACTGACTGGGTGAAAGAGCAAAAGGTAAATACAGGTCACGATACACAGAGAGCATCTCAGAGCCACCCAGCCTCAGTGTTTTAGGAAACCCAGCCCCTCTGCGACACTGTTGGGCAATAGAGTGGACAGACAGGGGACAGACAAGACAGGTAACTCTACCAACAACTGCTGATAAGACTTCAGGTCCAAGGGCATCCTTTGACCTGGCCACTGCGGGTCCTGCCCAGATCTACTCCTCCTCCTCCTTCTCTGACAAGTGCAGGAAAAAGGGAAGAGCCTGCAACCAGTGCCTTCCTGCCACCATCACCCCCAAAACACCTGGCTGCAGCTAGGTCATGAGAAAAAGAGGGCTCTCCAGAGCTCCAGAATTCGAAGTGAAGGGGCAGCATATGGGCACTGTGAGAGTGTGTAAGAAACTAAGCTTACACCCACAAAACCAACCATCCCATCCTGTGTCCAGGCCCCAAAGGCATGAAAACATGTGTCCACACAAAGACATATACATAAATGGGGCACCTGGGTGGCTCAGTCGTTGAGCGTCTGCCTTCGGCTCGGGTCACGATCCCAGAGTCCTGGGATCGAACCTTGCGTTGGGCTCCCTGCTCAGTGGAGAGTCTGCTTCTCCCTCTCCCTCTGTCTGCCTCTCTGCCTACTTGTGCTCTCTATCTCTCTGTCAAATAAATAAATAAAACCTTAAAAAAAAAAAAGACATACATAAATGTCAGTAGGAGCTGTATTCATCCCAGCCCCAAATTGGAAACATGGTAGCCCAAAACCAAGTGTCCACCCCCTGGGCAAGAGATCAACAAAATGTGGTACAAACATTCAAAGGGACACTGCTCTGCAATCGAAAAGCAGACTCTGATCCATGCAACATGGATGAATCTCAGAAACACCATAAAGGGAGAAGCCACATGTGAGAGCACATGCTGATGATTCCCTTTGTGTGAACAAAGCCCAGAAGAGGGGCCCCGGGTGATGAAAATCAGCCAAGGTGGTGTAGCGAGGAGGGAGGGGCCGCCGATGGCCGTGAGGGAACTGTCTGTGGTGATGGTAACATGTGGCAGGGATTTCCATCACTAGGCATTAAGAACTGTCAGAGTTCAGAGTGACTTAAGATTTACTTAAGATTTGTGCACTTACCATAAGTAAATTTTTACTCCAAGTAAGACCACAAACACTAACTCTCAGTAATGACTACAACACGTGTGGAAGCACTTAGGATGAAGTGTATGGGAGTATATGATTTGAAACGCAGCCCATTGGGGGAAAAAAAAAAAGATGGCTTTGTTGGCCAGGCAGAGTATGGACGGATCCGCGACGATGTAAACGAAGCAGCGTGCGGCCTGCAGAACAACAAGTGTACATGTATGTGGGTGCTCGTGTGGAAGCCTTTCGATATTCTGGCATGTCCACGGAAAGGAGCAGTAACTTTCTAACATTATGGATAGGAGGCTGAGTTAGTCAGTTCTGGAAGATAGGGTGTGTGAGGGGCAAAGGACAGGGAGAGAGCACCCTGAAACCCAGGGTATTTTAGGGGCTTGGAGGAGAAGGGAAGATGTTAAGTCCAACCAAAGGGGCATTCCTAAGGGTGGGTGAGGGCACAGCAAGGCGAGGGCTGGAGCAGAGGACATGAGGAGAGGGAAACACATGGTGGGGGAGACTGACCTCCATTCCTGATAGCGGTGATCCCTCGATAGAAGTCCTCAAAACTGACCACACCAAGCCCGCCGGGGTCCAAGTATTTCGTTAAGTCCTTCACCTGAAATTGTCAAGAAAGAATATGTTATCTGGCCTTACAAAATCAGAGGAAGGGTATGCTCTGCACTCGACCCTTTCACCACATCCAGACGAGCAGCTTACTTGCAAGGTGTGGTGCTGAGAATAAGAGCCACCAACAGCACCAGCCAAAGACAGGAGGCCTCCCAGGAGAAAGCTGCCAACAGCACCCAGGACCATCAGTGATGGAAATAAGATCCTGCTCTCAAAGGTCAACAGTCATGCTTCCCGACTGAGAAGATCAGAAGTGTTGAAGTTTTAGGTATTATTCTAGCCCATATCTAGACTATTATTAACACAGCACAGACCACCCATCCATTCCAAGAGGCCTTGCAGGCTGTGCAGAATCCTTCGTAAAAATAACTTAGGCAAGTAGACCATGAATATCAAAAATCATAAAAAGTAAGATGATTCACACTTGGATGTTATAGAGAATGAAATTCCTCAGAAAGAAGATACATTTATATATTCAAGTATAAACTAGGTTTCATCAAAATTTAAAACTTTTGTGCTTCAAAAGACACCATTAGTCGGGGCACCTTGGTGGCTTAGTCGGTGAAGTGTCTGCCTTTGGCTCAGGTCATGATCCCAGGGTCCTGGGATCGAGTCCTGCATTGGGCTCCCTGCTCAGCAGCAGTCTGCTTCTCCCTCTCCCTCTGTGATCTTAGTCTCACTCGCTCTCAAATAAATAAATAAAATTAAAAAAAAAAAAGACACTGATAGTAAAACTAAAAGACAAGACACAGACTGGGAAAAGATATTTGCAAATAATGTATCTGATAAAGGACTTGTATCCAGAATGTATAAAGAACACTTACAATTCAACAAGACAAACAGCACCATTTTTCTTTAATGGGCAAAACATTTAAACAGACATTCTACCAAATAAGATAGACACAAGAAAAGTATATGAAAAGATGCTCAAGATCATGAGTCATTAGGGAAAGGCAAATTAAAATCACAATATTGGGGTGCCTGGGTGGCTCAGTCAGTTGAGTGTCTGCCTTCGGCTCGGGTCATGATCCCAGGATCCTGGGATGGAGTCCCACATCAGGATCCCGCGTTCAGCGGATAGTCTTCTTCTCCCTCTGCCCCTCCCCCCACTCGTGCTCTCTCAAAAAATAAATGAAATCTTTAACAAAAAAATAAAATAAATGAATAAAAAGATAAAAAGGATTGAAGAGAAAGTGACAAATACTGCAAAAACGATCTAATATATGAATAACAAAAGTCCCAGAGAAGAAAAATCAAAGCAAAGGTAATAGAACAAATATTAAAACTATATTTAAGAAAACTTTAAAATAAAAAAAAATTTTTCACTGCATGTTGAAACACTACCTGAGGTACCAAGTACCAACTCCAGACCCCAGAAGACCCTATTCCAGGACTTGCTCTGGTGAATTTCCTGGACTTTAAAGGGAAAAACCCTCTGAATAGCTACGCAAACTTCAACTGACTTTACAAAAGAAAATCTGATTATCATTAAACTGTTCAGCAGCAATACCAAGTAATAAGGAATGTTCCAATGCCATCGTCTGAAGTGTTGCTCCGGACAGGCACCCTCATGCAAGTGAAAAAGGAAAGAAAGATACCAGAGTGAAGGCATTAAGCAAACACCTGGTAATCTTGTATGTAAACCTGAAGCATTACTATAAAGTATCACTCATGACGTATTAAATAAAACAAAGATCACTCATGACGTATTAAATAAAACAAAGACTTTCTAATTCTGTCCAATTAACAGTGAACACCCTAGCAACCAGGCTGTGATATTTAAACCCCACTTCCCATGAAAAGAAACCAAGATCCTTGGAGACCGGCCAGGAAGTGTACAAACGGAGCTCGGACTCCCCGTCACACCTGAAAGCAAAGAAGCTATCAAAGACTCATTAGTTAACATCCAATAACTCAGGAGCCATCCTGAAGAGGCCTTCACAGCCCACAGGGAGAATATGAGCACTGATGAGAATGATAACTCAGTGGACTGAAACACATCAAACATGTTTTAATCCATGAAGGTGTAATATGGTAAAAAAAAAACAAACAAAAAACAACTGGTCATCATTGGAGGTTACTAGTGAACCGTTTATTATTGTGAAAACTAATAAATAAAGGGAAAGAATCAAGTAGTTAGCCTGCCTTTCCTCTACAAACTGTAATTCAGGGCAAGTTTCTCTTTATAGAGCATCCCAGCTAATAAACGGGGGAGGGACGAAGGATCAAAATGTCACATCCTGCAATCCTCAATGCAGTAATGGACAGAATCAACGACGCTCAGTGCCTTCTAAAGTCATAAAAAGACCACCAGACACCACGTATCTCCTGGTGGAAGCATGCAACACCACCTAAATCAAACCTGAATCTAACTACCAATTTATAGGAAATACAATGATCAAAGTAACATGTTTCAACAATATCACATGGATGTAACCAGCAAGCCCACTCCACGAGGACCCTGACAGAGAAGTGACCTTCTGTTTTCAAAGGGAAAAAGATGGAGAGGAAGCCCTCACTAAGAGACTCAGAAGTCATGACTTAGAAGACATACCAATCTGTGACCATGTAAGGTCTTTATGGATCTTGATTCAAATAAACTGTTGTTTTAAATCATATTTATAAAATAATTAGAAATTTGACTACTGATCCTAGATACTGAATACTGTTTGATACTAAGATACTTAATTTTTACAGGTGTGATAATGATATTTTAGTAATTTTTTTATATACTCACTGATGTAGAGATACTTCCAACACTAGGGGCCAAGGCACATCTAAGGTTACATATATGTGGCTGACTGGCCATGACTGACAATTGCCAAGGCTGGGGGTGGGGTACTGGGGAGGCATCACACTGCTCTATCTACTCTCGTATACGCTTGGACTTTTCCATAATGAAAATTTTAAAGAGAGAGAGAAAACAAAAATGAGAAAAAGACAAAAAGAGCAAAGAAAGCAAGAAAGAGAGGACCGATGTTGGAGGGGGCAGCGAGGAAAAAAGGATGAGGCACTGGCCAGAAGACAGCTCACCTCTGACCACAAAAGGAGGCAAGGACCATCCAGGAAAGCCAGAGGATAGGAGGGTGGGGACATGTGAACACTTGGGGATGAAGTGTAGACAAGATATTTCAAAGGCAGAGAACCAGGGCTAAGGCTATGGTGGGGACAAGCCCCTGGCTGAGGCCAAACCCATTAATCTACACCATCCACAAATGGCTCTCAGGGCCTCCTCTGCAATGGGCAGGCTGCCATGTTCAGCCCTCTTGCCACTATTTGGGTAACATAAAGCCAGACTAGAATAGGACCAGCTCAAGCTGACTGACCCTAACGGTCCAGGGCCCTCAAGCCAGAGACTGCATCTCCCTCTTCTCCCTCCATTACGTGGATAAGATGGTGGCCACCGTCCCTCCATCCCAGGGCCCTATGTGCTACTGAGATACTGGGCTTGGGAGTCCACTCATCCTCTGACTTCTTGAGACAACTGAATCAGAATTATTTATAAAATGCCTCCTTCCTTATCTCACAAAAACCTTCATTCCTAAAGCCCATGATATCTAGTGCTGGATATCTAGCACTAGATACCTGAACGGCTATCTAACCTGGAATCCATACTGGCCAATCTGTCCTTAAGATGTCTAAGAATTTTGGGGCACCTGTCTGGCTCTATGAGTAGAGCATGTGACTCTTTTTTTTTTTTTTAAGATTTTATTTCTTTTTTGACAGAGAGAGACACAGTGAAAGAAGGAACACAAGCAGGGGGAGCGGGAGAGGGAGAAGCAGGCTTCCCGCGGAGCAGGGAGCCCGATGTGGCGCTCGATCCCAGGACTCTGGGATCATGACCTGAGCCGAAGGCAGACGCTTAACGACTGAGCCACCCAGG